AAATGAATTAAAAAATACATTAGAGAAGCAGATGCACATGGTAGGATGGTCCTGGAACACACAGCCTTTTTAAAATAGCAATGTTTGCTCCTCCTATTCTCTCACCCTCTAAAGGACACAACCATTTCCAGTCCACCCAAGTTGAGTAAAGATTTTTTCTAGATGAGACTAGTAATTCAAAGTAAAATTTCCAGATGCAGAAAAAGCCCCACCACACCTCCTTCCCACAATGCAGTTTTACAAAGTTATTGTAGCAAGTCTAAGTTGTGCGAAAGAGGACGAAGAATATTTTCTATTTTTCCTACTTGCTTCGTTGGTCTTTATTTTACCTCTCTGTCATTTGTCTCCCTTAGTTTCATCACCAAAAGCTTTGTCTAATCCCTAAGCCATCAAATTTCCCCATACTCTACCATGATGTTCTTTCCATAAATATGAGAAATACTGTGCAAAGAGGTTAGGAGAAATTTTCCATTTTTCAAGAGCTAAGATTTGCAGCTCGAACTAGAACAAGAACAGATGTGAAAGGTAATATGCAACAAAGTCACTTATCCATTTGATACAAGAGGATTAAAAGAATAGGGAAAATATACTCTTCAGAATATTTTTTGGCCTATTAGAATCACATTAACAGTGTCCCAGAGGCACATGTGGTCAAATCTAAAAGGTTTACTGTATGTTCTAAAGTAAAACTTATTCAAGTTTCTGTTGTGCCCATAGGGTAGGTAGCCAATGTTCTGAATCCAAGGGCTGGTTCAAGGGGGAAAGATTGGAAGGATGTGGAAACTGTCCAGCGAAGAAGTTAAATATGCTTAGTAAGTGTGGTGAAACCACATGAATATTAATTGAGCCAATTCAAACCTTGGCCTCTCAATAAAACAAAAATATTTTTAAGGTTTAGGAGAAAATAAAGCAGGTAACTCTTCCTAAGCTATTTGTATCTCATTGCTCTCTTCATTGCTTACTGCTGGTTTTCCAGTGTGAGATTATTTTTAAAAGAAGAAAATACACTTTCAGTACTTCTTGATTAAACATCCCAGAGCAAGAAAACCCAGTGACCTACTGTAAAGCTACACCATATGAAAAGCCACTCTCCTCCCCAGGTGCTTTGTGAGGATGGACTCTCTCATCTCCTTCCACACGCTGGGCTGGAGACAGGGCTGGAAAGAGAATTTCAAGCTCTGAGGCTTTAGCCAGATGGAGAAGTCTTTTCTCAACCTTGTCAGTTTTGCTTCTCACTCAATGCTTTTCCTTCCTTTCCTGTTCTTTAATTTGCCAGCGCAACCCACTCACATAATTTATTTACAAAACTATTAACTAACTTCCTTTGCAGTACTGTGTGTTGAATACAGAGGAACGGCAAAGCATGCAGACAGACCCAATGGTGCTTTTCATGTGAAAATCTTTCAAGAGTTAGGAAGACCTCTTCAGAGTTCTGGCTCTTACTTCTAAACTAGGTTGGAAACACTGATCAAGCTCTATGTCGGAGACTTCTGGGAATTGTCTTCTCAGTGTAAAGAAAATCTAGATTGATTTTTTTTCCTGTCCTTACTTTCATTAGCAAAAGGAGAAATAGTCACTGTTTTCAAAATAACGTCAATGTGCCTCACTATGAAATCATACCCACAAAATCTGAGCCAAGCAAACATCTAATGTAAGTGCAATTATTCACATCTAAAAGGATGGTTTTCACAAAAGATTTCATGATTGTTTTCTCCTAAATACAACAGTGAGGTATCTCACTGTAATCAAAATAATCTGATTATATTTTAATATTTGCACACAACTTTGTGTAGAGTTTCACATCTTAAAATGTACAAATATGTACTTTTTCTTAAAATATAATTACAATTGTCAATTTTCTCTCCAATATACTGTCCAGTATTGCATTGGGAGTAATTGATATTTCATGAAAATCTCATCCTGATCAAATTATGTGTCTCAAATAAACTTCTTTAATCAAGTACTAGTTGAGTCATTCACACAACTAAATATTCATTAAACATCCATCAAGCTTTGGGGTATTATTAATATTATTATTATTATTTATTATTATTATTTTGGTACCAAGGATTGAACTCAGGGGCACTCAACCACTGATCCACATCCCCAGCCCTTTTTATATTTTATTTAGGGATAGGGTCTCACTGAGTTGCTCAGGACCTCGATAAGTTGCTGAGGCTGGCCTTGAACTTACAATCCTCCTGCCTCAGCCTTCCAAGCCACTGAGATTACAGGCATGTGCCACCATGCCTGACATGTTTCAGATTCTTTATCCTACACAGTCAATACCTAATACTGCTTTAACCTTTCCTGTTCTCTGAACAAGCAGGACTCAAACTTTACTCATAATATCTTCAATGAAGCAGAAAGTCCTGCAAGGAATGCAGTTGCATATGAAAGTTTCAACACATGATGAAGTCAACATCTCAAATTAGTGGGAGAAAAAAAGACAGGTTTCTAAGTGTATCACGGAAGAACACGGTTCTAGTGTGTGTCTGAACGGGAGCCTCGGAAGTGTTAGAATCTGAACCATCTAAAACAAATCTTTACAAGGAGAAATGGGCTTAAAACAGGCAGGGTCTACCATTGCCCTTGTGAGACTGCTGGGCAGGTCCAACGTGTGTGCTCTCCAGGTACCCTAGAGCCAGGATTTGGGCCTGAAGTCTGCCCCAAGATGAGGCTATGCGTCTGAGGTCTGACCTGAGTCCTGGAAGATGCTCCACAGTGGTGTTAGCAGAAGTCTTCAGAGATCCGACAGTCAGCCCAGGGAAGTTGCCTTCAGTTTTTTAGTCCATAGGACAGAATAAGGACTCACAGTGGAAGCTAAAGACTATGAGGTTTAGACCAGAATTGAAAAGAGCTCCTGGTAATTGCCATCATGGAATTGAACTTACGCTTTGACTTCACAGGCTGCTGTCACATGACACAGGCACCAGGGCTGGATTGAGCAGATCCATCTAGTATCTTTGATACAAATTATCTTGGCCTAAGCCTTGGGGCTTGTGAACTTCAGAAAAGCACTCAAGGCCAGGGTTTAAAGCAGTCATCCTTAAACTCAAGTGTGACGATGACTCATTCATCTTTTCAGCAAACACAGACTGCTCCCCACTTAGCAAGATCTAACTTAGGATTCTTCAGCTTTTGCAGTGGTGCAAAGTGATATGGATAGAAAAAAATCTATCATACTTCAAATTTTGAATTTTGATCTTTTCCCAAACTAGCGATAAGCAGTAAGCGCTGTCTCCTGATGCTGCACAGGACAGAGGCCCCAGCTTCCAGTCAGCCACGTGATCAAAAGGGTCATCGACCAATAGTCCACCATGGATTGTGTTACCAGCGTTGCTTTGGATGCACATATTCAAGAAATGACACGACTCATTCAACACTTTTCTATAAAACGGGCTTTCTATTAGATGATGTTGGCTGTCTGAGCTAATGTATGTGTACCTTGAGCATGTCCAAGGTCAGCAATATATGCTGAGCTGTGATGGTCAGTATTGAGTTTATTTCCAAAGTAAGCTATATAACTTACAGTGGATCCATCAGACATAGCCTCGTTGTGAGTCAAGGAGCATCTGTGCTGACAAATACTTTGCACGTGCCACACAGCATGCTAAGCACCACCAATTTATTACACAGGAAAGAGCTGAAGCACCATTAGGCTCCCCAACTACCCTCACCCTGTCCTTCCCTTTTCCACCAGAATTAATTCCCTTAAATCAAAAGCATGAAATTGCTCACATCCTTTCTGGGCCCTGATATCTCCATTTGGTACTTTGATGCCCACAGAACAACATCCAAACTGCCTAACTTGGAACACCTCGCTCTTGACACACGTGACTCCGTCTCCCCACTTTCCTTTCCACCTGAGGCCTGAACTAGATCCAGTTAGCTTCCCACCAAAATGTCCTAACCCCTCTCCACCTGCCTTTCTCGTCTCCCAAAGCCAGTTCAACTGTTCCCTTCTCTGGACCTCTCACCACACAGCTAGTTCAGGCTCCTACCATGAGCTATGACATTATACTATCACAGTCCTTGTTATTCCTCATTGTTATTGAAAATGTCATTGTCCCCACGTTTTTTGTTGTTGTTGTCCTCCAATATAATACCGGTTATGTAGCATCATAGTTATGTCTTCACCAGTTACTGTGCTGTTGGAAGACAGAGATAGAGCGCTACTCCTCTCTGTACTCCCCAGTCCTGCAAGCTGTTGGAATGTGCTAGAAAATCCACCTGTGTGTGTTGGGCTAGGCCGGGAGTCACAGAAAGAAAGCAGAAGGAAAGGATGGCCTGCCAGGAGTTTGGGTGGAATGATGTGCAACTCCAATTTGAAAACTCCAAAAGCTGTAAATATACTTAAGTACAAAGTAATTATAGCAAACTCAGTTTCACCCAAAAACAACTTAGGGAGGGAGGAAGAGGAGGATAAGGGAAGTAGAGATCAGAGCCACAGAAAACACTGGGGAGCAGCAGTTCAGGTAGAAAATGGTGGCAGTCACCTTTGTGGCTTCGTCTTATCCCTTTGGGCCACGATCCCCCTCCAGTCAGGCACAGCCCCAGCCCACTCCAGGAAGGTACACAGTTGAATCTGTGATTCTATCAATATTAAAAACGTGTACGGTAAGGGACAAAGGCAGGAAGGAAAGCACAAAGACAGATTTGCTATTTTAGATTGGTATAAGTTACCTATTTTTTTTTCATTTCCTTTAATGTTTGAATAGCAGTGTTCTTGACAGTACATTTTCTTAACAATGGTTCTAAACTAGAAATGGTATATCTGCTGATAAATTAACACTCAGTTTTAAGGGACCAATAAATGATTTTAGGGATTGTTCTCCCAGAATATCACTTAAACAGGAATAATAAATCCCTCCTAGTAGACTCCATGAAGTAGCAGGGATACAGGAAAGACTCTTTGGGAGAGAAGCCCCATTGTCTCTGGAGAAATGCTTACTTTCCAGTCTTCTATTAACATAAAATATACACTTCCCCCAAACATATCTGGCAAAAGATGGTAAGTTTATTTCCATCGATACTTACAGCAATACAGCAAGCTATTTGCTGAAAATACTGTCAAAATGGAAATTTTTCTTCAAAGGAAATGACTTTGTAATATTTTTACTTTACTATTAATTTAATGCCCTTTGTAAAGAAAGCACATGAACTATGAAGTCACAGCTAGACACAATGGCCATTAAATCAAGAAAGTATGAATAATTTGTGCTATTGTCCAAATCCATAATAATTCCTCTCTAGGGAATCCTCAGGCAAGAAAAAAAAAGTTTCATTAATTTTTCAGTTTCTCGTTGCAGTTCTTTAGAGAATATAATTTGTTATACAGTAAAATAAATGTGCATATTTAAAAATTTAAATCCATCTTCAAAGTTCCCTGAAGTTCATTCTTTTATCTGACATTGACTTGTCTACTGTAATGTTTCAACAATTTTAGAAATATCCTTTATGGAGAAGTAACTAATGGGCTCCATCTTAGCCCAAACTGCAGAACTCAGAAGCAGCTCCATGTCACCTTTTTGCTAAATGTCATTGCTGGATTGCTAAGTCACTGACCAAGACACTTGGGCAGAAGCAGAGACAGATCCAAGCATAACTCTGTAAAGAGAAAGAGATAAAAAAAAATCAGGCCTGAAAAATGCATTTCTTCCCACATACTGGCCCACTAAATACATCCCATATCTGGGCAAGTGATCAGAAAAGTGTTGAAAAGAAAAAAAAAAAAAAATTCCCACTGGACTCCAGAAACGCCTAGCTGAGGCGCTGCTTCTCAGAAGTCTTTCATCCAAGAATCCCAGGGTGTTTTACCAAAAGTAAAAAAGAACTAACCCACAGTAGTTTACCAAAAGTAAAAAAAAAATGTCTTGTTTTCTCATGTTTTATTTTTAAGACATGGATAATTTTGATTTCTACTGTAACCTATTTCTTTATTTGCTTTAATATGAAAATAATGGGGGATTTCTAAAAAAAATCACCAAGTAACTTTGAAATTCCAGAAGAGTGTGCTCTGCTTCGCCTGTGAATTTTTCTCTAAACACAGGCCACATTGAGAAACCTTGGATTAAAGCATCAAAGACTCAGATTAAAATGGAAATGGTTCTCATTCCGAGATGCATATTTTTAGGTTGATTTTTGTCAGTTATTAACAGCTTGGCAAAAGCTGATTCACTAGAGAACTGGCCAGTCTTCTAACAAGGTGCAGAGCTACTTTATGCAGAGAGGTGCAGGAAAGCAGGTAGGGAGCTGGTTCAGCCATGAGTGGTCTCGATGGAAGAGCAAAGGGGAACATTATGGCCCAAAGAGATAGCAAGCCTAGAGTTTGAAGATTCTGGTGAGAAAGATTTCTGCAAGAGGAACAGAGAACCCAGAGATAAACTTTTCCCACATCTTATGTTTACCAAGAGCACCCTTGTCCATATCGCTAGGAATGAAAACATAAACATCTGCTTCAAGCGTAATCACTGCTGAACTGGAAATGGCTGGAGCAGGCTCCCCCTTACCGTTCTCATGAAGAGTGGACAGGAGATAAGCGAACTCCTTCTCAGCCACCCTCAGCTTTCCTGCCCACATTCCCTCCCACCAAGCACTGATTTGCACAGAAGGTCATGTCCTAAGCAGCAAGAATGCTATTTGTCAGGTAATAAAAATGAAGGCAAAGTTAGATACAATCTGGTGTGAGGCCCTGGGTGTGATCTCCAGCACCCCAAAGCGCAGCAAAACAAAACAACAAACTATCCAAGTGGTACAAGTAGAAATTGGTTCTTTCACAAAATAGAACCAATAAACAGAGTAGGACCCGCTGTGTCAAGCAATGAGTGATTTTCTAAACAAAGATCAGTGTGGATTGCAGAAAAAGTACAACGGTCAAAAAACAGATCTGCTAGCCCAAAAGATGGGTCAAGGATAATGTCTGAAATCCAGGTTCCAGAATGCCTTTCGAATGTCTGAGACATGCACATTCCAAAGGATCAAATACTATATTTAAAAACCTGAAATTTCTCAAGATTTCTATAAAATAGCCTGCTAACTCACACTGGAAGGCATGGGCAGTTTATTTATTCCTTTATTTTTGGACTGGGGATTGAACCTGGAGTGCTCTACCACTGAGCTACATCTCCAGCCCTTACTTTTATTCTGAAACAGGGTCTCACTAAGTTGCAGAGGCTGACTTGGAAGCCTCTGAGTCACTGAGATTATAGGTGGGCACTATGTCTCCAGCTCCTCTCTCTTCTATCTCCCCCTAAGTGTTCTGCACGTTTAAGAGATTTTTCTAGAAGATAAAATACTCCTTGGTATTAGGAATAGCAGTGTATTTTGCATTCTCTCTTTTCAAAATCCAGCAAGAATCATTCTAGTTACTTCCCTTGTATCCCCAATGGTCATGCTTTTGCAGGAGAATCAGTTTTGCAACAATACGCAGGATGCCTCAGAAGATACTGAAAAATCCTAAAAACACAGTTACTTTAAAAATTAATAAATGCAACTAGTTCCACTTTGATATAGGAAATAATTGCCTGCTGTTAGATAGAGAGGTGAAAAATATAAAAAACAAATCATAAAATACAAAAAAAAAACCATATAATTGGTCTTGCACTGTTCTAAGGAAGAAAGTGGGGGTGATGGAAGGAAGAAGGGAAGCAGAAAGGAAGTAAGTTGACTGAACTATCTGTGCAGCAGCCCGTAAGGTAGAATATGTAATTTCATTCACTGTTTCCTGCATTCAACATCAGGATACAGGAGCACTCTGTCCAAACCAGCTTACTTGCCCCAGCAACTAAACTGTTCTGCAGGAAAGACTGCAGCGCGTGAGGTGCCTCCCTCAGACCCTCTTCCTCCCCTCAGCAGGATGGTGCACCTACTGCTCCCTGGATGTCCCTGTCTTTCACAGAGCATTGTTTGGCTGATTCTCCCATAGGCCATCTTTCTTTCCCCTGTACACACACACTGACGACGTCAACACGTTGAAATAGGGTAACAGCAGCTCTTGGCTGGAGTGTGGCTGGTTCAAGATCATCAATTCTTCCAGCCTGTACTTTTTGTTCTTGTTGTTTTTCTTTACCACCTGAGCCACACTTCCAGCTCTTTTTACTTTACTCTTTGAGACGGGTCTTGCTAAATTTCTGGGACTGGCCTTGCGCTTGCAATCCTCCTACTTTGGCTTCCCCAGCACTCTCAGTTGATTTTCCTCCTCACTTCATCACATGCTGGGGGAGGGAACCTCCCACCAGCCCTGGTGTCAGGGGCATGCCAGCAGCAGGACTTGTCCACACGGGCAGCTCCCATGCCCAACTGTGAATCTACAAATGCACACGCCGTGGCTCTCTGCTCTCTTCTGACCTCTAATTCTAAAGCTGTCGTCCACATGGGGAAGCCAGGTTTCTAGATCAGCTGTCCTTTTGGCCAAATCAAGGACAAATTCATTTCTTGCTTCAGCATCTTTTCTCTCTTTGTTAACCAAACTCCCTATGTGGTTGGCAATCAAATCTGTCTGTAAGGACCCCCAGAGTCAAGCCTCTGGGGGCTGTTCCCAATAACAACAATTTTTCTTTTTTTCATTCATTCTTTCCCAGTTAACCCAGAGAAAAGAAACCAGGGTCTGGGTTGGGTTCTGTGAGGTCAGGACCAACGACCAGTCCTCCCACGGCTGGGAGGGTTGGTGGCCCAGGACCCCGGGGGAAGGGCTTCCCCAGATCCGCTCTTGGCTGGAGGGTAGCTTGTTGGCGATCACGGCTTCCCAGGCAGTGGCCCACATCCAGGCACGGCTCAGTGAGGAGACATCAGTATGAGCTCCTTGTCTCAAGAGGGGACAACTCTGAAGTACCTGCTGGATGGCTCTGATGACATTGGCTCTGTCCTTTCTCGAGGCTGCCTCTCCATCCACTGTCTCCCTTTCCCAGGTTTTGCCTCCCTAGCTCCCCGAGAGGAGTAAGCCCAGAATGTGTCCCCCAAATAAACTACTCTATTTCAGAGTCTAAATTCCAGGAAATGTGTCCTAAAACACCCTCCCTCTTTTTTCTCTTCATTCCTTCTTTGTGATTAAAAAACAAACCTTATAGTGGTTGTTTGGTACTAAGTATGCGTTGGTGTCAATGTGGTTTTAGGGTAAAATGTTTCCTTACCTGCCAGGGTCATCAGAATTTCCCTCAATACTCTGCACAAGTCTCTAAATTTCATCTCACTTTCTTCTAATTAAAAGTACCATTGTCAAAGCACGTTATATAAACTATCTTTATTAATGTGGTTATTTACTCTCCTAATTAATAGATTTGTGAACACAATCTTCATCTCCAAACTACGTATATATTCTGCTGCTTTTAACTTCAAATGTACATTACTTAAATTCTAGGTTTGAATTTAAGTAGATTTATGTGTGTGCCAGCAGTTGTTGTGGTTTTTGTTTGTTTGTTTGTTTGTTTTGTGGTACTGGAGTTTGAATACAGGGCTTGGTGCACACTAGGCAAAAACTCTGCCCCTGAACCACATCCCTAGTCCCTTTTATTTCTTTTATTATTTTTGGTAGAAAAGTTATTTTCAAGTTCAAAACAACTGACTTCAAAACAAACTGTCGAAACCAAACCTGTCTGTGAGTGGGAGCTCTCTATCACTTCAAATAATTGGCTTTGGAAATAGAGAAAAGCCTGGTGCCGTTTCAGGGGCTTAAAACAAGGCTCCAGGCTGCCCCTGCAGATCCAGCCAGCCAGCAGCCTCACTACACAGTGGCAGAAGCATCCCAGCTGGACTGCAACTGTCCAGTTCCCTGATTCCAGAGCATTGCTTGGCTCACCCACGCTGACCATCTGAGAAGACAGGCTATTCACTGGACAGTCCAGGCTGCAAGGGGCAGCTTGCATTCATTCTTCCCTGCTAATCAGGACATCTGAGGACTCCTGAGGCTTAAGTCCAAAAACCTCTCCCCCAACTCTCTTTTTGGAGATGAAATCGAACTCGACAGTTCATTAGATCTTTGAGCAATTTCAAAATTTTTATCAACAGTAATTTCTCAGAAGCCAGAGTTATAAATTAACAGGTTTCGATCAAATGAAGACTAAAAATAGCAACTGCAGACCAGAGACTTACCAGCCCCACTGAACAGGGTTAAAGGAACCAGCAAATGCCAATGCTGGTGAAGGGAATGTGGATTTTCCTTTACTAATTGACAAAGAAGCTAGATTAAGAGGGAATCAAAGCTACTTTTTTCAAAAATTTAAAAGTATTAACAGCAGAACCAAAGCATGCAATCGAATCAGATAATCATATAAAAACCTAATCAACTGCTGTTGAAGCCTCAGGAGAGCTAGCTGGAAAGGGACAACCAGGCCCTGAGTGGGACCAACTGAGGGGAGGCATGTGACAACCCCAGGTGTGACCTGAGCTGGACAGAAGGGAGGCAGGCACACCTCTCTGCCTCTGGCCAAAGCCTGGAGGTCAGGCTGTTCACCCCGTGTGGGGACAAGGGAATGACCTGTAAGAGTCCTGATTCCTGGCACAGGGGATAAAGCCACAGTTCAAACCAGAACACCAGGAAAGGCGAGTTCTGAGCACAATGACCATATTAGCAGATGCGCCTCGTTGCTTTCCAGTTGCACTACACATAGGAA